TACAAGGAGAAGCTTTGGGAGAGGGCCCAAGCTTTTGGCACATCTCAACCCTGTGTTTAGCTGTCTTGGCCTACTGATCTTGGGATGGTACCATTTTACCTATTGATCTTGGGTTCGTCAGCCTCAGCAGCTAGCAGCTGCACGAGTCAGAAAAAGCCTCCAGTGTGCCTGGTGCAGGAGGCAGAGCGGAAGCCCAAAGGTGAGGGGCCTTTATCTGGCCCCTAGAACTGGCACTTTGACCTCAGACTGCTAGCCTCCAAAACCGTGAGAGAATAAATTCCTGTTCGTTAAAGCCATCCACTGTGGCATGTCTGTTAGAGCAGCATCAGAGGACAAGACAAAGAGCATCAATGAGGTGGCCGAGTGGCTGCCTGAGGGCCCGAAGCACAGGAACGACTGGCAGCTGGTGCGGGACTGTGTTTCGCTCTGTTGTACACAGCGTCGCTATTCAGGTTCCCTGGTGCCGCTCTGACAGAAATACACCACCAATGGGACAGCCTTAACAAACAGGAGTTTATTCTTACCATTTGGGGGCTTTAAGTCCAAGTTCAAAGTGCCAGGCTCTAGGAGCTGGGTGAAAGCCCCTCAGCCTTGGGGTCCAGCTCCGCCTCCTGCTCCCCACCCACTGGAGTTAGAGGCGTTTCTTCACTCAGACAGCTGCTGGCTGCTGAGGCTGAGAAGCCCAAGGTTGACAAGTAAAAAGGCACAGTCCCGATGTTACCAAACCACACGGCAGGCCATTAACTTAAGTCCATCTAAGTCCCAAGGTTGGCAGAGCATAGCAGGCTGCTGAGCAATGACATGGCTATATGCAGGGTCCAAGCGTGCCATAAACTAGAGACCATTCCCAAAGCTGCTGCTTATATACAGGAAGCAGACCATGTACCAAAAGCAGCTACTCAGCTGCTTGTGGTAGATCCCACCATGGAGATGATTGCCAGGCTCATCATGGGGAATAACTACCACCAGCTGCCCAGCCGCTCACCCAGGCCCAGCCAAGCAGACCCACAAACATCACCACCACAGTCGCTGTGCCCTGGAGCTGACCCGGCAGCACCTGACAACAGCAGCATATCGAACAGCTCTCCAGAGAGATAAAACTTATAAAATCCCTACAGTGAATCTAGGGATACAAAGACTCCTGCACCTTCAGCACATGGCAAGCCTTTCGGGAAATCTCACACAGCAGGAAATGCGTTCAACATAGATAAGAAAACAGAAATCAAGTCAATTTATCATGGAAAAGGCTGTTCGGTGACAATTATCATCAAGTAAAAGAACTGTTGGCACAGTCAACAGCTCAAACTCACTGTCCACTCCATGGGTGAAAGATGAGACAGTCTGCTTCTGTAGACTGACAGTCTTGGAAACCCCGTGGGGCAGCTCTCCTTTGTCCTTTGGGGGAGTTGTGAGTCAGAATCAACTCTACGGCAGTGGATTTAGGTAGGAGCACTGGTGGTGGTGTGCTAAGGCATTTGACTGCTAACCAGAAGGCTGGCAGTTCAAACCCACCAACCACTCCTTGGAAGGAAGACTGGGCTATCTACTTCCCTACAGAGACTGCCTCAGAAACCCGAGGAGGGGTCACTATGAGTCGGATCCGACTTGATGGCAGTGAGTATTTTTGTCGTTGTTGTTTTGTAAAGGCTGATGGCCTTGGAAACCCTATGGGGCAGGTCTCCTCTGTCCTCTGGGGGAGCTGTGAGTCAGAACTGACTTAACAGCAGTGAGTTTGTTTGTTTTGGTTCTGTAAAGGCTGACAGCCTTGGAAACTCTATGGGGCAGTTCTCCTGTCCTCTGGGGGAGCTGTGAGTCGGAACTGACTCAACAGCAGTGGGTTTGTGGGCTTTTTTTGATTCTGTAAAGGCTGACGACCTTGGAAACCCTACGGGCCAATTCTACACTGTCCTCTCCAGGTGCTGTGATTTGGAATCAACTCGATGGCAGTGGGCGTCACCAAGAAAATTAATATTTTGTTTTTTAATGACGTTATCGAGATAGGTCAAAAGATACAGAACTTAAAATATTTCAGAGGAGACAAAAGTGTTTGTTTTGTTTACCTTATAGAAGGGGCATTCCAGGATAGAGGTTAGGAATAGCTGTGTCAGCTGTGCCAGACTCAACCTGTCCAGGTAGGACTCTGTACCTGAAAGAAAAAGCATCCTAGTCATCACTCAGGTTGAGTTTTGGTATGTGTAAGAGAACGTCACTAATGTCTAGCATGGCGTGATCCACTCCAGAAGTAACACATTTGTATATGACAGCAGGACATAAACTTGATTACTTATTTTCCATCAATGAAATCTCACTTTGACTTCTAAGAACCCAAGATCCTAACTATAGAATATAACATAAAGTGAGAAAACATGTTAGTGGAATTAGAAAAAATTTCCTTAAACTATGGAGATTCAGGGAGCTCTGGTAGCATAGTGCCTAAGGCACTTGACTGCTAACTAGGAGGCTGGCGGTTCAAACCCACCAGCCACTCCTTGGAAGGAAGGTTGGGCAATCTACTTCCGTAGTGATACTGCCTCAGAAACCCAAGGAGGGGTCGCTGAGTCGGGTCCGACTTGATGACGCATAACAATGGAAATTCAGAAATGTGACATATTTGAGTGGTCTTGAATCAAGAGGAACAATACTGTCCTCCCCCATCCCCAAAAAAGTTATGGTTGCTCTTGTCAAAGATTCTAACATGACTGTAGCTCTTTCCACTGCCATCACCATCTCCCCACAAGACTACAGCTCCTCAGCTGGGAAGAAGCAGGATCTGCCCACCGGAGTGCTTTCCTCCCTCTACAGAACGTTCTATCATTCTTCAACCCTGTGCTTGTGGCATCTGCCACTGCAGACCTTTTTCAAAGCATCACTCATTGTACAAGGGCTACAGTCCAAATGTTAACATTCCATCTCACATTTTTTTTTTTTTTAATAACCGACTCACCCTGCAGCTGTTGAAGGAAATAAGGGCTAAATATTTTTGCCATAAAGTTGACTGGATGGCGTTCGATAAGTGAACACGAATGGAGAATTCTCAATAGCTTCTTGGGTGGGAAATCATGGAAGTGAGTGAATATCATGTTTTCTAGCTTCCTAAAGAAAGCAGGGGCATTTGGTGGCAAGTAATTGAGTTTGCCAAATGGTTCGATTAGGTCAGAAATCTGAGAGGGTGAAAATTTTTCAGACTGGCAAACAAAGCTTTCTGCTGCTGCATTCAGGATGGGTTCTGAGAGAATCCGTTTTCTACTACAGTACTGTGTGATTCGGCTGACCACTTCAGGATTCGGAGTAAGAGAGAGAGTGTCTATGTGGTGCTCCAGGGCTTTTGTGAAAAATCTGTCGTTGTACCCAAAGTATATGAACGCCTCCAAGACACTGCCCAGCTCTTCACCAGTGAAGCGAGGGATGTGCCTCACGACATACTTGCCCAACTTTATCACCAGAGGAAGCGCATGAGTTTGATCAAGTGCGACCAGGACACTGAGCACCTGGCTTATTGCTTTAGGACTCAGGCTGGGAACAATTGACAGCGAGAAGCTATTTATCTTATTCAGAAATGGCTGGTGTTGGTCCACTTTTTCAGGACATGCTTGGAATATTCTATAAAGGGCTACAATGTCCTCTGGGGAAAATCTGTCCAATTCTTCCCCTTGCAGTTGCCCTATAATCAGTTCTAGCAGCATCCTGCTTGGACCTTGCAGTTTAATCAGACTTTGTCCAAGAACACAGAGATCGTGAACTTCCAGGACACCCTTCTGGAGACGATTGTGGCATTCTGCCACCAGGTTCTCGAATAAGCTACTCTGAGGATCTACGTGTAACAGGGTCAGGGCTTGCAAAGCAGTTACCAAACCAGTGTTTGTCAGACCTGGGGACTGGCGTATGAACTGGAAGCATAAAGACTTAAAGACACGATCTTCCAGGACTCCTCTTGGCAGCCTCCCAGTATCATCTTTCTTCTCCACTTCCCAGATGCGTTGTAAAGCGCCTGCTGCCCTTGTGTCTGACAGTGTTTCCAGTGTGCCTACAAAACTCAGTACTTCCTCTGATGAGGTAAAACTGTTTAGCTTCCTGTGGAACATTTTGTCCATGTGTTCTGTGTTCTGTTCAAACCCATCCCAGTCCTGCATTTGAGGAGACTCTGGCTGGCCAATTGGCTGAGGCTCAGTGCTGTTTTCAGAACAGAAGTGTTCACAACATGTGTGATGGGACTGGATGCAGGAGGTGGTTGGTGGTGGGGCTAAAATTGACCACCGCAAATGCTCCCTCACTGCCTTGTGAGTGTGACTCGCAGACCGACTCTTCAGAGCGGATAGGGCCCCATGGAGGCGAAAGTCACACAGATGGCAAAGGTTCCTACACAAGGTGACTAGAGCCATGTCATCTGATTCTCAATGCCTCTCAATCTGTAACAAAATTAAAGAATGGTCAAATACATTGAGAACATGACACTCTCAACATCAATCCTAGTTTTAGGAAACTGAATACCAAAAAGAGAAGAAAAGGGGAGAAGCTGATAAAAATCCTACAAAACTATAAGACCAAAAGAGCAGGATCTCTGCATTGAACCTAGGAAAACGGCCAGCATCTAATAGCAGCTTTCATCTGCCAGGTACTACTGTTAATGCCAGAACAAATGGTTTGCACTTGACAACTAACCTTAACGTTGTCAGTATGAACCCACCCAGTAGCACGGTGGAAGAAAGGCCTGGACGTCTGCCTCCACAGACTGCACGAAGATAAACCTTTGGAGCAGTTGCATTCTGTAACAAGGTCACCTGGAGTCTAAATCAATTCTAGGGCAAGTTGTACGTGCTTCATGAATATTCACTAAGCTCCCCAATAACACGGCAAGCTAGGCCCTTCCATGCTCATTTTATGTGTGAGGAAGGAAAGCGGTTGCCACAGCTAGTAAGAGGCAAAGCTGGGACTCCAACTCAGACCGTCTCGTTCCTGACCAGCAGTAAAAATGGCCATGGAGTCAATTACTACTCACAGTGACCCCACGTGACAGAGAACTGCCCCATAGGGTTTCCTAGGCTGTCATCTTCCCAGAAGCCAACGGCCTCACCTTTCTCCCGCTGCTACTGGCGGCTGGGAATGGCTGACCTCCAGGGTTGCAGTCGCGCGCTGTAACCGCTGCGCCACCAGAGCGCTTCCCTCCTGACAACACCCCTAAATACTGGGTGAAGGAAGGACCTGCGTTTAGTTAAGAGGAAATGTACTGCAAAACGGCAACGGGTAAATGGCCACATTTCGGACAGATGTAAGCAAGGCTGTGGAAAGCGTCCACGGACCAAGAGCGGGCTTCGCTGAGACCGGACGGCGTCAGGCTTGGCAAGCGGGAAAAACACAGTAAGTAGAGAAAAAGGCCAAGGAGAGGGCAGCCTGGCCAGAACTCTGGCAATCCGGGGCGGGGAGTCTGGAGAACGCGCGGAGGGAGCCCGGCGACAGCGGCCCGCACCCCACAACCACCGCCACGGCCTCTGGGAATGAAGGGACCCCACACCCGCATGGTCACACTCATGGCAGGCGCCCACAAACCAAAGCCTTACACCCGGTCGGGGGAGCTGCGCTAGGGCCCGGGGCCACCGCCTGAGGAGAGAGGGCAGGAAGCGTACCAAACTGACAACGCGTCTCCGCTGGGACAACTGCTGGCGCCCCCCCCGGGTCGCCGGCGCTAATGGCTCTGCCCGCTAGCATCCCGGCATGCGCGGCGAGGAGGCCATCCGGGTACCTCCCCCACGCCCGGCGCGCTGTGATTGGCTTCGGCTTCTCTCCCTGTCTTTCTATTGGCCCAGGCACCGTGCATGCGCACCTCGGCCGTCGGAGGCTACGTCGGAGAGTTCCAGGCGGGCGAGGCATTAGGGAGGCGCTATACGGAGAGACGAGGGTCCCTTCCCGGGACAGGTGACGCACCACCACAACCACCACCTCAGCGGTTCAAACGGTCCCCCGCAGCCGCAGGTGAGCCTCCTCCCGACCGCTCCTTCCAGGTGAGGCCCCCCGCGCCGTTCTGAACGTGGTTCCCGCCCCCTGGGGCTGCGGAGTGCCTGGGCCGAGCTGTCCGGCCTCCCCGAGTCCCCGCCCTGTTTACCCGCTTGGCTGTGTGTTTGGCTGGAGAGAAGTAGGACAGACTGCCTCATGGGTTTCCAAGGCTGTTAGTCTTTGTGGGCACAGACTGCCTCATCTTTTCTCGTGGAGCAGCTGGTGGGTTCGAACCTCCGACCTCTGGGTTGCGGCCGAGCGCTTTCACGACTGCGCCACCAGGGCTTCTGCATAAAGCTCACAGCTTAGCAAGCCCTGTGGGGCAGTTCTTCTCTCGCAGGGGGTTGCTGTGAGTTGGAACTGATAGGACTGCACCCGACAACAACGCCTGTCAACTTCCGGAAGCTCCCAGGCGAGGAGAACCGCACAGCGAGCAGTTGTGCTGTGCACACGCGGGGTGGCCGTAGTCAGAAGCCGCCCTGGAGGGTTTGGAAAGGGCCGATGCTCTGGCGCCTGGAACCCTGGAACCCCCCAGGAGTACCAGGTGTTTGGCACAGTGCTGAGCGTCAGGGTTCTGCAGTACTTGGCAGCCTCTCTGTGTCCTCAACTTTATTGTTTGTCCCTTCATTGCTGTAACTTAATTGAGTACATGCTGTATGGCAGGAGCTGTTGGGGTCCCTAACAGTTTCCTATGATTTTGCCGTTTAACTTGTCGCCAGTTCATTTGTGTCTGAATTTGTCCTTAGGCATTATTGGCCAGACCAGCATAAAACGATTGGTTATTTGCCAAAAGTCAAAATTTTGGTTTAGGTTTCAGTTTAAATCTGCCACAGACTGAGAGTCCCGAGGTGTAGGCGCAAGGAGTGAGAACTGAAAAAAGTCTATGCGTGACCTTCATGCTTGGTTGTCTTTTCAGGAAAAGCACATGAACTAGTGAGGTGTTTGAGTGGACTGGGAATGTATGTACATGTGTGTTCAAGAACGTGAACATGTTAACACGTGTATATGTGATGCTGAATTAAGTAACACATGACAGGATATGCATCAATCAACCCTAACCTGCAATTAGCTTGTTCAGCACTAGTGTCAAGTAGAAACCAAGAGTTCTGCAATTTTAATGTAATTTTTACTTTTGTTGTTGTTGTTGTTGTTATGTGCCGTCAAGTCATACCTGACTCATAGCGACCCCTCCTTGGGTTTCCGAGGCAGTATCACTACGGAAGTAGGATTGCCCAACCTTCCTTCCGAGGAGTGGCTGGTG